GATGGTAGCAAAGAGATGCTCCAACTATTTGCTACCATCTAGTTGTCACTCAGATTTTTACAATCTATTCTAGATCTATTTTGCACTACTTATTATCTTACTGGAAAATTCATTCATTGCTCCTGACCCGAAGCAACTGAAATAGCCAAGATAATAAGAGTTAGATATCGTGTTTCCCTGAAAATAAGACCTTGTCTTATATTTTTTTGAACCCTGAAATAAGCGCTTGGCTTTATTGCCATGAGCTCAAAAGCCCAATTGGGCTTATTATCAGGGGATGTCTTATTTTGGGGAAAACAGGGTATTTCATTTCATTATATTTTTAATCTACCATATAATAAATGTACTCTGTGCAGTTAATGCTTTTAAACAATAAGTGGAAGTTGAGAACAACAGGCCAAGCTTATTTATGCCAGTTTATTTCAGCTGTAGGGGTTGCTGTAGAGACAAGACAAATAAATGACTTTCAGATTGTATATTGATTACAGCATTTGTCTGTTCTGCTCTCATGATTAAAATACAGTACATTCTAGCAGAATAGTGACATACTGCTAAAGTCAGAATGTTGTGTCCTGTTTTGATGGATAAAGAACATTAATAGGATAATGGGTAGGGTGACTCAAAGATTGTTATTATGTTCTTTGATTTTAATCTATGGAAGTTAAATAAGAATTTACTTTTTTTTCTTGGTTTCACATTTTTATTAGTTTATCAAAATACAAAAACAAAGAGAAATTCAGAGAAATTTCTCTGAAAACTAGGAGGATGGGGAATATGGTGTATAGAGGGGAAAGGGAAAGAAAAAGGCACCAACTTCCAACTCTTTGTAGCACAGTAGAAGATAACATTAAAACCTCAACTTTTTACTTTTACACAACAGTATATACTAGCCATTTTTATAAGCACAAACCTATCTAATTAACAAAAACAAAATCAAAGTTTCATTTTTTTTCATTGCAAACACAAAATCTGGAAGCAATTTCCAAATAGAAACAAAGTTAAATATATTCTCTTCTTTGGATAAAAGAATCAATTTGACCATCTCTGCTTCTTTCTGTTGAGAATAATATATGCTTTTGTTTACTCATTATTTTTTATCATAATTTATATTAACTTAAATAAGAATTTACAAAGTTAGGTAAGCAGCAATGATTTCTTACCGGCCACTTGATTCTTCTTAATCTTGTTATGCTATGCTAATTATGTTTTCTTTCTTATTGCAAATATTAAAATATTCTGGAACTGCTGTTTTAAACAAAATAAAAATAATTATCTATAGAATTGATTTTTCAGGGTCTCTTTTCTCCTCCTTCATCTGTTATTGTTTATTTTCTAAATCGTGTGAAGTATCATTAAATAATGCAAAAACATGAAATAAAATTAAATTTTGTTTTCTTGGTGTAGATTCTTAAATACAGCAAATTTACATATGTTAATGAGAAAATTGTGATTTGAATATTTAAGTATACACTATCATAATGTTTATTTTTCTAATGAAAAAGAAATATGTGAGACTGTTCCACAAAATATGTTTTTATTTGAAAAAGCTTAGTTAAGAATTTGTTTATCCTCATTGTACAGTACTCTTGTTCACATAAGCATCTGAGGCACAAGAACAATTGCTTGCCTCATTGCATTCTTCTGTATCTAGTGACTTCTATGCATTTGACTAGAACTTGTATTATCTGCCAGCTAGAACAGCTGATCTGTATGCTGGATAGAAATCATGTGAATTATTGTGCAGATCAACAGATAATGATGATTAAAAGATGCTTGCTTGGATGTTAAGCATGCTAATAACAAAATCAAAGCCAAAATCCTACCTTTTATTCCTTGCTGGTATATTTCTTTGGAGGGTTATTTGTAACCTGAGGAAAGAGCAACTTTGAAAAGTAAGGAAATGTGAGTAAGATTGCATCTGTCTATGCCAGGGGTGTCAAAGTCATGTTGTCACAGTGGCGTCACGTGACGTATCGGGACTTTTCCCTCCTTCACTAAACCGGGTGTGGGCATGGCCAGCATGTGATGTATCCGGCCTGCGGGCTGGGAGTTTGACAGCCCTGGTCTATGCTAAACAATTCTGGGTATTTAAAGCCGAAATGTGTGTATTAAAATTTCTTGGACAATTACTATATATCTCAAAATAAGATGACATTGCTTAAATTTTACATATTTTCCAGGGCATTCTTATTTTCCGAGAAAAAATAAGGACATATAGCATGGGACTTTCTGAAAACAGTGTTTGGCTTTTTCTTAATACAGAAAATTAAATATTTGGTAGATGCAATCAGCAGCAAAAGATTTTATTATAGACATCTATGTGATGTAACCTGAAACTCACTTGTGAATCGCCTTCTTTTAAATCACCATTTAAGCCTTGAGCTTTACACCTCCAATATATTTCCTTATGTGATAGAACAGAGTCCCCTAGATCTACTCTACTTATGGCTGGCTCAGCATTCCTCCTATATTTAGGGAACTGCCATGAAATTAATGCCTGCGTAAAAATAGTTTGTTTTAAATTTTGCAAAATGGCCTCAGTGTAGCCTCATAGAAAGATAACCTATGCAAAACATTGATCAAATAGTTCAATGTGTCTCTTGCAGGGACCATAAAATGACACAAACATGTCTGTACTACAAGAAATATCTGAGAGCATTATGAACCTGAACTTGAAGTTGTTGTTTGGATTTCAAAATAGTAGAAATGAGACTAGTAGAAAATATACTATCCTCTGGCCAGCACAATTCCAAAATGTTCAAGGAAGAGTCTATGATTATGGTTATGTACTTCCTTGGTAGTAAATCATGCTGAATGTAAGTTTTGATACTCAACAAATATCCATACTAGTAGGCTACAAAACAGTTGTTTCTAAATTGTAACTTGGTGGCAGATGAAATCATTTCATTCCAAGGACAGGGGAAGCTCCCACATGAGATTTTTTACTGTACAGTCACATTGCGTCAAACACAGAGTTGTATAAAAGAACTTGATCGTGTTATTTTCCATTTATGTACAGCTTGTTTCTCTCATCACTTCTTCTGCTTCTCCCCCTCCATTAAAGAAGGAAAGGCACAATAGTTTCACATTCTTTTCAAAAGATAATGCTAGGAATAGTTTTCTGGAAAAATCCTCAAACAGGTGCAGTTCCTATGTGTATAGTATTGGTGAGATCCTGGAAATACACCTACACAAATCAGATTTGTACAATTTGCTAAACCAAAGTAGTTTTTTTTTATTTCATAACTAACCTAAATTCTTCCAGGGGTGGCTTGTCAACTAACTATTATTACTATGTGAATCTAATCTCTAAACCTTGGCCTTTTATCATCACCTGGATCAATCATTCTCTTTCTGCCACCCTATCTTGTATCATTGTTATATGGAAAATAGGAATATGGCACTCTGGGCTTCTGAGTGAATAGCAGTATATAAAACTAATTAATAAACATTCACAGAAATATGGATACGTGGATTCTGAAAAAAGATGAATCAAAATACCTACAATTTCAAATAATACCTCTCCAATTCAAGCCTTGGACATCTTCAGCTAGTCTTTTTAAGCAAGCATATTTTACCTAGTTATATTTTACCTAGTTATTTTTTGACTCATCCAATGCGCTATTGTGAAATGTAGGACCCTTATTAGTGAGGCCTCAATATTGTCCATAATATCCTAGCATCAGGGGTCAGTAGTTTTCTGCTGCTGAGGTCTATTTTGTATTAGTATTCTTGGCAGCCAAGCACAGCTGTCAGCAAAGCCATGATGTAATACCATTACAGAAGGCAGAGGGTGGAGGTTTTAGTCAATTTCCTGCCATCTGGAGAGATTTGTGGGACTTGTACTTTCACTGATGTATTAAGCTTATGAAAACACCTTTTTTCTTCCTGCTTCCTGCTGATTTTTGACATTTTCCCAACAAATTTGAGTGCTGCAAATGGGCTCCAAGGACTGCAAAAGAGAACAAGAGAACATGCATGGTCAACAAGCAGGGTGGCTTGTTTCTGGCTACCTACCGGTATGTAAGGGTTATACAGTGTTCAGCAGCTTCAGCCCAAAGCTTTTATTTGGCTTCCATGTCCCTTCTCAGGTACAAGTACACATCTTGGGTTTTATGAATGAATGCAGGAAAGGTAAAAAAAAATCCCCACCTTTTAAGTGAGATTTAAGAAAAATACTTTTGCTATAAAAATGTCTAATTTCGATTTTGCCCCCCCCACCCAGCTCCATCTATCTTGCCCATGAGTACTTCCCAACACATTCCATAATTCCACCTCTCCCACCTCATAGCTATTAATCTAAAAAAAAAAAAAAAGGTCTACACCTTGCATTAAAGGTCTACACAAATGTTTGAAGCCTTCAACTAGAATTTTTGGACAGTAGAGCATAGGAGTGATTACAGGCAGTGGTGGGATTCAATTTTTTTACTACCGGTTCTGTGGGCGTGGCTTGGTGGGTGTGGCAGGGGAAGGATACTGCAAAATCTCCATTCCCACCCCACTCCAGGGGAAGGATACTGCAAAATCCCCATTCCCACCCCACTTCAGGGGAAGGATACTGCAAAATCCCCATTCCTGGGGGACGGATATTGCAAAATCTCCATTCCCACCTCACTCTGGGGCCAGCGGTATTTGCCGGTTCTCCAAACTACTCAAAATTTCCGCTACCGGTTCTCCAGAACTTGTCAGAACCTGCTGAATTTCACTCCTGTTACCAGGGACCACTTTGCTGTATACTTCAACACCAGCCTCTTTCCCTTTCATTTTTAAAACAAGATATTTTAAAGAGGGAGTTAACAATCTTACCACTTCTAAGAAAATAAGAGGAGTGTTTGGTGCATGGGATTTTGGAAGCTAAGTAGTGAGATTCAGGAAAGGGCTTATCTGATCGAAAACAAGAGCTTCTCCACTGCATACTCAGTTTGGTGTCCTTTGACAGGCACAAGTGGGCAGATTTATGCAGCCAAAATATATGGAAACATGCAAAATTTGGTCAGTAATATTTTGGGATGACAACTGTTTATTTTACTATTGCTTTTCTCATTGGGATGTCACATTTCAGACTTTTATTTTGGACGTAGCTTCTGCACAGGTTGTCTTTATTAGCAACTGCCTTGTTTAGCAACTGTTTGCAGTCACATTGGTCTGTAAAGCAAAGGAAAGATGAAATAAGCTCAAAAGAGCAGTCATGGTTTCACTTAACAACCACTTCATTTAGTGGCCAAGCTGCCAATCCCAACTATGGTCATGAAGAAAGATTACATGTAGTTCTTTGTGCTTTACAGCAGCCACAGTCCCTTCCACAGTCAATTGCTTTGACACACCAGAACACCAAGTACTGCTTGTCTCATTATCTTGATTTAAGCCACTGTTTAACTACCATTTAATAAATCACAATAGTGCCTTCATATAACATGTATTGAAACCACACAAACCATATTTTTGTTTTGAACGGATGAAACACGGCATTGCCCTTTAACCATAATATATAGGCTGCTTCAGTCCTGGGGCATAACTCATTAATACTTTGAACCTTTTGGTCTTTTCCCCCACCTATAAATGATGCTGGGCATTTTCAGAATCCTCCTGATAAATGGATCATTGCCCTTTGCCCCAAGATCTCACTTGGATATTGAATCTCAAAACAGGGTGAATTGGTAACAGCGTGATACCAGGCGAGAGCAGATAGTATAGGTCTGGTTGGTACCTAAATATTAAAAATCATGAGCTGGTTCAGATTTCATGCTTGGGTTTCGTTACCGCTTATGGACAATTTTAGGTAAAAAATCACTGCACGTTTTTAGTTCAATATACGTTTGCCCCTAATAACGCTTAATGTTTAACTATTAAATTATTTATTTATCAAAATAATGGAGTACTGTGTCATAACACGAAGAGACACGAGGATGGGAAAAACGCTAAGATCGACTCCCGGAGAAACAGAACGAGCACAGCCTCCTGTAATCTCTTAGTTCAGTGTTTCTCAACCTTGGAAGCTTGAAGATGGGTGGACTTCAACTCCCAGAATCCCCCAGCCAGCAGCGCTGGCTGGGGGATTCTGGGAGTTGAAGTCCATTTTAGTTGGTTCTCAAATCTGAAGGGCGGGATTGATAGTCCCCTCGTAGACCATGGCAACCGTTAGCCAATCCCGCCTTGGTACGAACCTTCCCAGGGCCAATTGCACGATGGCATTGTAAGCTCCCGCTTCGGAGCTCTATTGGCTGGTAAGCACGCGAGGCGTACGCCGTCGAGATTCACGCATGCGCGGTGTTGGAGTGGTGGCTGAAACCGGGTGCTTGTGTGCTGACAGGGCCATAGCCGTCTCCGGACTAAAGTAAAAATCGAGGCTCGAACGCCAAAGCTTCGCGTCCGGCGCGCGCATCCTTTCTTTCCTGTCGCTGCTGCGGCTTCCGTTGCCAGCATGTTCCTCACTCGCTCCGAGTACGACAGGTAAGTGCAGCCAGGACGAGCGGAAGCGCGGCCTGCTTTTTGGCCGGGGCTGAGTCACTGCAGCGGCCTGGCTTTCCGACCGACTCGTCCAAAGGCTTTCGGAAGGGAGTGGAAGCGGCCTCCCTCCTCCAGCTTGCCGGCCTCTCCTCGAGGGTCTCTTTTAAAAGGGGTGGCAGGGCCGCTTTTTGCTTCTTTCTTCGGAAAGAAAGCGCCTCGGTCGGACTTCGTGCCCTCAGTGCTTGGGAACGGAGAGCAGTTTTGGCTGCGTGGGGGAAAAAAAAATAAAATAAGGTCTTAACACCGAAGTTTCCCGTCACTGAGTGTCCCGCAAAAGCTTTCCGTCGGCCGAAAAAGCAGCTTTACTGTAAATCGAACTGCAAAATCTAAGCCAAAACTGGCGGTAAAGAGATTTTATGTGTATTTGAAACCATACTTCCAAAAAAAAAAAAAAAGTTTACATTTAGTCTGAATACTTAATTTCAGTTTGTTCGTTCTTTGTAGGGTGCTTTTAAAAAAGAAAAGATTTTCGATTTGCCTTAATTATGCCTGCTTGGGTAAAAGAAAATAGAAGGGATTGTGACATTTTTCAAGTTTTATTAGTCAGAAATCAGGGTATCCCGATCCCTTTTTGAATACTTTCTGCTAGAGGTAATTCATCGAAGTATTCTTTTTCTCGCAGCAGACTGGGCCTAATTTGTGTTGTGAAATTATTACAGTGTATTTTGGAGTAGTGTGTACTCAAGGCCAATACATTTCCTTAGTCATAATGATGATCCTCAAACTTTTGCTTTCGGTTATGCTTATCAGGGATTGGACGAGCTCTGTAATACTTCATTGTTGAATAAAGCACATCGTAGAAAAATCTACTATGCACAGATATATATTTTAGAATGTTACTTGTACAAACCAATACAGGGATAGCCGAATAAACTTTGCAAAGTATTTTTGGCAATATGTTGTGATATTTATCAAGAAGAAAAAGTTTAATTTGGTGGTGACTTTCATAAATCATTTCATACATTTAGTTTTTTTTCTCACGTTTTGCAATATCATAAACTCTCAATCCCTCCTCAATCACTGTTTTGTTTCAAGGGATTTGTTGAATTAACAAACTTGTTAAACTTGTAAAAATCTTCACTTTCTTGGGAAAATGAGAAATTTCTGAGAAGTTTGGAGTTTAAAACTACACCGCTAAATAGAATGCTGTCTTTGGAGAAAATGATTTTTCACTATATTGATATAAATTTTTTTGCTAGAAAATTTAAGATATTTAAGATATGAAGATTGAATATTTGCTGTTATAGATAAGATTGTATCTTTCATGAATTTGTCCAGTTTCTTTCTAAAACACCCTTGTTGGTTATTTGCAACAAGTCGAGTTCAGCTAGAAAAATACTTTGTCTTTCTGAATTATTTGAAATTAAACTTTATTGCATAAGTGATTGAAAATCTAAATTCTAGTAAATGTTCACTGTGACTCTTGATTATTTCCTTTGCAGAGGCGTGAACACTTTTTCACCAGAAGGAAGATTATTCCAAGTGGAATATGCTATTGAAGCTATCAAGGTACATTTGAAACTATTGTGCAAAAAAGTACCTTGAGCTACTTCATAGAACTGGATGGACTGGAATGTGGGAATCTCAGAACAGTGAATGGAGAGTACAGTTTGAGAGTAGTGTTTGAGCAATCCTATCCAATTCTTCTGCACTTTCTTTGAAGTAATGCTGAGATAGCTTTTACACAGTCACAATAATTGGTTGAGACTGGCAGTGTGTTGCATGCTATATTCATTCACTTACCCAGTTGCATCAAATAGAATTTCTGTAAAATGTTAATGTAAATAACTGGGATAATGTGATGGGTCTTGTTGAAAAATGCTCAGGAATCAGTTGTGTAACATTTTGCACACATTTTGAATTCAGCTTTATAAGAATAAGCTAATCTTTATATCTGAACATGGTATGCTTACTGAAAGAAAGAAAATCCATTTCCCAATTTGATTATGTAGCATGATTTTAGTAAGTAATTTAGTATGCAGCAACTAGAACATTGTTATATTGCATTGAGAACCACTGTTGTTGTAGTAATTACAGTGCAGAGTAGGATTAGTGTGATATAGGTTCATGTTGTTACTAAACCATGGAGGTTCACTGTGTGACTTTGGGCCAAAAAGTGCAGCCTACCTTATGGTTGTAAGGGGAAATGTTAAGAGGGATTGCTTTATACATAACTCAAGCTTCATAATTCAAAAGAAACTTTTTAAAAGATGGGATAATAGTACCGGTAGTAGTACCATTTTAAAGATGGGATAATAGTAACTATAGCTTTGAAATTCCTGCAAGGGTTCCTGAGGCCAGAGGAAATGTTATATTTTCAGTGTATTTCATATTACCTATCTTTGCATGCTTCTTGTTCTGTCATAGCATACCCATGGTCACATGATAAAAGTTTAGGCACTTGATAACTGGCATGTATTTAAACAGTTGCAGCATCCTGGGGTCATATGAGAATCATTTGTGATCTTCCCAGATGGCTTCTGACAAGCAGAGATGGGGAAGCCAGATTTGCTTAATGAATATATGATTCACTTAACTGTGGAAACAAGTCATAAAATCAGGCTTGGCTCACTTAACAACTGATTTACTTAGCAATGGAAATTCTGGTCCCAATTGTGGTTGTAAGTCGACTACAATCACAATGGACTATCAGTGGTTATTATTTTTCGCATGGTGACAGCGCGATTATTTTGCACTGAATAAAATTAAATTCAACTTTTCTTATTCTGAACCTTCATAGTGGCACACTATGAAGTGAACGATTAGTAGACTTAATCTATAAGCATTCCATTACACTTTCCCTGAAAGCTTCTCCTAACAGGCCAGATGTAGCAGATTGAAGAGTGAGGATGTTTTAAACACCTTGAAAAATTCCTGTGGATTAGCAGGAAAGTTCTCATGTCCGGATCTACTTTTATTGCCAGAAAGCTTGGGTTGGAGTAGAATCTGGTCATGCACAATGTTTTGAGTTGGCTAGTCTGTTACAATTGTAGACCGCTATATATAGCGGTCTACATGTAATATGTAAAAAAAAAAAAAAGGAAAAAAAGCAAATATGCTGTTTTTATGCAGCTCAGTATACTAAGCATTGACTCATCAGTGCCTACAAGTTTCATTAATAAAGATATATAGTTAGAGCTGCATGTGTCTCTGAAAAATTGATGGCAAACATGCTTGACATATAGACTATTCATAGCTGGTATTATGATTATCTTATCTGTTTCAGAGTCATAATTATCTAAACTAATGCATGCTATTCATTAATATTAAAAAATATGTTTATTTTAAAATAGTTTGTATCTGTGCTATAGGGCCTTTCTCAGAGCCAAGCCAGAGCCTTATTGTTTTGAAGATAATTGAGTTTAACATTAAAAAATAACAGTTTTTTAATGCAAATATCTTCAAGCAAATTACACTGCTATGAGAAGATGCATGATCTATTTTGTACAAAATGATCTTGGGTATTTCTTGAATGGGGTGGAGCTGACGTAATCATATAAGGGCTTGACAGGACGTATTGTACATATTAAATAAAGAATTGATATACCAGATCACGGAATGGGACAACTCAGTGTGGCTAGTTTGGTGCAGCCAGTTCATCACTGTCAAGTCGCCTCTGCCAACTCACTGCCACCAAGTCGCCGCAGAACAACTCCACACAGTCAACTCGCTGCAGGGACAACTTGCCGCAGAAGGCTGGAGGGAGAGCTGGGTGGTTGGGCGTGTGAGCAGATATGCAGAATGGCAACAGCGGCTGAGGGCATCCCATTTTCACACACCCCACCACTGTTGGCAGTGCTGCTGCCAAGCTCCAGACTGAAGAGGCCCAAGACAAGACATTGGCAGCAGTGGATTGGGGAGGCAATGGTGAGTGGGGGCATCCCATTTTCACATCCCCTACCAATGCTGCAGCAAACTCCTGGAGCTCGGCATGGCAGCGGTGGGGTGTGTGAAAATGGGACGCACCCAGATGCTACCCACCCAGCACACCAACAAACAGCCTGAACTCTGCCACCATTGCTGAACAGGCTGAACTCTTAACAGCCCAGAGCTCAGTATGGTAGCAGCGGTGTGTGTGAAAATTGGATGTGTCAGTTGCTGACACTGCTCTGCACTCTCCCCATTCGCTTGCCTGCCCACCCGGCTATTTCTCCAGTGGGAAGTCACCGCTCTACCCACCTGTCTGCCCGCTCACCTGACTCTTCCTCCCTTCACCATAGCAAATTGTCCCTGCTGCGAGTTGGCTGTGTGAAGTTATCATGCGGTGACTTGGTGGCAATGAGTTGGCAGAGGTGACTTGGCGAGCTGGCTGTTCTGAGCTGGCTGCACTGAGTTGCCCTAGATCCACCAGATCAATTGATGTAGTTAGTGCAGTTTGTCAAATGTTACATATTGACTTAAGATGAGAGAGAGAGACTAATAACAGTGAATGAATGGTAAAAAAGTGTTCTCCCTCATCCTC